TTCTTGGACATACCTGTGGCTTGTCCAACACAAGGTACCATGCAAAAGTAACAATCATTAATATGATTTGTAGGCTCTCTCCAAACCATTGGGACAGCAAAGCGCATAGACCGTTCTTTGCCATTTAACCAGCTCCTCAGACTTGAAGCACATGTATTACAGCAGATGTGGGGTGCCCACTGTTTGTCTTGATCACCTAGTTTACAACCGAAATAAAGCTGATATGCCTTTGTTATTAGTGGAGTAATAGACCGTCTCTGAGACGCAAAAGTCACATCACCACACACGTAACAAAACTGATCTGGATTGTTTACACACTTTCGAGACATCTTGCATGAACGCTGTCAGCCAACTGAGGAAAAAATGGCTAATATAAAACAATATAATGTACACGTATGTATAACGTAACACAATCATGCCGATTACATCATCTTTCCTTGCCGAATATAAAAATGTAGCACGTGCATTCTTGTGAATTACAGTATATTAACACTGTCACAGCAGAAACACATATAATTAACGTATCTCTAAAACTTGAACTAATATTGAAAGAATAAGTTTCATTCCGGTTTTAGCACATTAAAAATAGTAATATTTTGTTGATTTTATTTAGGATATTTTTTGGCTGTTGATCATTGATCAGTTGTCAGTAAAAATCGTTATTTTGGGTATTAGCTGAAATATTGCATGACTAATACAGTCAGTCGGCGACTCCCATGGTCACTAGTACTGTAGTTATTGGGGTGCTGTTGCGTTTTGTAGAACTTCCGATTGCACTGTTTTTAACTTGAAACTTATAGAGGGTAGTCTGATACATTATTTTAAAACAAGAAAAGTGTGGATGAAGCACTTTTTTCATGAAAATGTTTTCCCAAAACACTGTATTTTTAACAGTTCTTCCACCATTAACTCCACCGCCATTTGCCGTATGATGTTGACGTCTGTGCATATGTCATAGTATATGAGAGGCGCTTGCCTGCACTGTTGCCAGATTGGGCTCCGCATTTAGGGGAAAATATGAAAAGTGAAAAATTTATATACGTATAATAAATAATGAAACACAAAAGCGAAAAACCGAAACAAACAACAGTGGCAAAATAAAAAGCGATGCTTAATAATTATAAAACAAAACATAACAGTAGTCAACTAAAAAACAATTGTAAATAATTATAAAAACAGTAAAACAAGAAACAATTCCATGTGATTATAAAAAACAAAAAACAACACAGTAAAATAAAAAGCAATTCTAAGTTGTAACAAAAAAAGAACAGTAGTAAAACAAAAAAAAAACAATTTCATGTGATTATAAAAAACAACAAACAGTAAAATAAATAGCAATTCTAAGTGATAACAAAAAACAAAACAAAAAAGTAAAAACAGTAAAGTAAAAACAGTAAATTAAAAAACAAATCCAAAAACTAAAATGAACAGAAAGTATTCAATATTAAAAGGTATACTTTGCGGCAATTTGTCGCAATATATTTTTGAATCGGTCTCCGGGTCTAGGACCATAGAGCCCCCACCAAATCAACTGGTCAATATATTCGGGTAAATGAGGCGATTTCATGACACCCAGCCGCCTCAAAATCTTTAATCTAGACCAGTGCCCTTCAATTTCATTAGTGCACACTCCTGTCACTGGATCCACAAAATTTAGTGTGCGGTTCAATGTTTCATGGATGTAGGGGGAAACACCTCCTAGGTTCCCCAAGCGATTGTAGCCGGCCCAACCGTCCTTCCAGATTTCTGTTCCCGGCTTGACAAATTTTAGTATTTCGCTCTCAAGCGTAGTCGCACTCCTATTTGGAACATAAATAATGTGCCCACGTTTCGTGGAGACATCGAAGAGGCCCAGGACCCACAGTTCCCTGTGTTCTTTTTTGTTTTCTATAATTACATGGAATTGTTTTTTGTTTTACTGTTTTTATAATTATTTACAATTGTTTTTTAGTTTACTACTGTTATATTTTGTTATATAATTATTAATAATCGCTTTTTATTTTTTCACTGTTGTTTGTTTCAGTTTTTCGCTTTTGGGTTGCATTATTTGAATATACGTATATAAATTTTCCACTTTTCATACTTTCCCCTTAATGCGGAGCCCAATTTGGCAACAGTGCAGGCAAGCGCCTCTCATATACTACGACAACAGCCGACGTCAACTACGAGGCGTGAACAAAGAAATCTGGCAACGTAGGTGGTAGTGTTACTCCCGCCGCTGCTTGCTGCATCGACGCAACTCGTGCTCAAAACGCTGAGAAAACATAACCTTTTCAATTTGTGATTTTGGAATCCCAGAGGCTGTAATTAAGAGATAATCTTGTTTTCTAAGCTTCAAAGTGTGTGTATGTGTTCAAAGTGATCGGTGACTATAATATATGAGAAATAGACTCCAGTTGTAGTGCTTCTGTGCTTTAAAAATAAACTAAGAAGTGTGACTGTGGCTGTTCGCGCCTCAGGACGCTAAGGATTTCAACTATTGAAAACGTGCAAATTCAGGTTGTATTATTATTTTTTCATTTATCAAGTATTTGACGTAGACAATATGCCTCGTTGTTGCTGTGTTCCTTTATGCAATGCAAACTATAATTCTGCTTTGAAAACAGAAAGCTATGTTTCAACTTTTCGCTTCCCAAGTACCAAAAGTCTGAAAAACAAATGGCTTATGGCAATTCCCAGAAAAAATTGGACACCTTCAAAATACTCAGCTGTCGTCATTTTAGAGAATCGGATATCATCAGGACAGAAAATATAGTTTTGGCGGATGGAACAGTCCAAAATAATATACCTTTGAAATATCCAAAATTGAAAGAAAATGCTGTTCCCTCCATTTTCCCAAACTTTCCATCATATCTTTCAAAAACTGAAGCACCCAAAAGAACTGACCCAATGCAAAGAAAACAAAAATTAATTGAGAAACATGAAAAAGCTGTCCAGAATTTCGATGATATGGATAAGATCAAAGATAAATTTAGTTCAAAAATGTGGATTTGAAGTTATTTGAGTTGTTACTGATAATCACCGAATTAATAGAGCAATGTCCAGGAAATTAGCAAAGGATTCATCAGAAAATTATTCTATTCCAAATCCACATAATCCTGATATTTGGAATTGGATTAATTTAAAAAACCTAGACAAAACTTTTGTATATCCTAATTTTGACAATAATGATATTATTCAGTATGCTAAATTTGAAAACATTCGTGCTGTATATCAATTGGAAAAAGAAGCTGTAGTTAAGAAAGCATATAAATTAAATTATAAAACATTGCATCCAAATTCATTTGAAAGGCAAAATGTAAATTTTGTAGATAATTTATTCCAACACTCAACAATAGCTGCTATGAAAGAATTAAAGTTTAATGATGCTGCACACTTTTTGGAAATAATCAGGAATTGGTGGGATATTGTCAGTAATACAAGTGTAATAAAAGGAGAATTGAAGCGAAACGAATTTTGTAAGCCTATTACCAATAAATATGATTATAGAGTACAATTTTAAAAAAAAATCCTGATATGGTTAGAAAAATGGCATAATCTAGAGAATAATAATGGACACCTGACACCAGAAACGTATACAGCTCTATATCAAAGCACGCTGACTCTACTTAATATAATTGAATATTCATTTAATCAATTTGACATTGAGTATGTATTGCCTGGAAAATTCACCACTGATAATTTAGAAAAACGATTTGGCAATTATAGACTTTTATGTGGCTGCAATTACAATGTATCGTATGATGAAATTTTAAATGCTGAAAAGAAAATACGGCTGAAGCATATTTTCAATGAAATGAATCGTCATTTTCTTTAGCAGGAATTAAAACAAGGTTCCAAAACTGCTTAGAAAATCAAGAAAATTTTGATTTCTTGGATACCAAACAAAATCCTGAAGTTTTGGATATATTCAATGAAGTATTTGAGATAAATTACTTAGCCAATTGTGACAGAGAGGATAGTACTAAGACTTATATATCTGGATATGCTTCACACGCTATCTCTAAAAACCTAAACTGCGAGATATGCAAATCGCTAATAGTTAAAGAAAAAGGTTCATTAACAACAAATGTTTATTTTGATCATTTGCAAAGAGGAAGACTGTCAATTCCAACCAGTTATGTATCAATCATATTCTACCATATGTATGCCATTTTTGAATCTATTATTAATGTAGATAGATTGGAAATTTTCTGCTTGAAAAGCAATAATCAAAAATTTATTTTGTGTCAGTTAACCTTGCTCAGCATTCACTCTGACTTTATATACAGTGAATTTTCTTTAACTTGCATCTGTGGCCGCAATTATGCAGATATTTTATCTAAGCTTTTGTCTATTTTTTCAAACATAATTTTGAATGATTATGTAAAATTGAAAAATAACAGTAAAACTGAAAGTAAATGTATTAAAAACAAACAGGTTACTCTACATTTCCAAGCTGGGCCTGTTGGAACACAGTGTGCTGACACCAAAAAACGTAAACTAAATAGGGGAGAAGTGGCATGAAAGAGCCAGGTTTTGAAAGAGCCACTTGCATTATTTCGGTGGTTTAGGAACGAATTTGGTGGGTGATCTTATTTTAAGGTGGCAGCACTGATTTCCCGCCACTCACAAACATTTGACAGTTGGCTAGTGATAACAGGCGGCGGTACATCGAGTCAACATTTTTGGCATCCAAAAGTAAGTATTTTGCTCTATCTAAGTAGTTTTTTGGCATTTGATTGTAAACAAATATAAGTATGTGGATTGTAGATTCAGTTTGTGCATATAATTGGCCTTGCAACTGCGTAAACACTAAGCGACAAAAGGTTTTATATTGCTGTTATTTTGAAGGTTATATATTTTTTACCAATAAGTTATGAAAGAGCCGGGTGCATAGGCCTTAAAAGAGCTGGCTCTTTCATAACCGGCTCTTTTATAACCCTATATTTAAGTTTTAGTAATAAATTATTATAATAATAAATATGCATTTTTATATATTTTTAAATTATTTGCTTCAGATACTGCATTATGGAGAAGGCTGGCTCAAAAAAACGAAAAAGACCCGAAAAATCGGTAATTGAAGAAGCAGTCAGTGAAGTTTTGGAGAAAGGTCAGTCCATAAACAGAACTGCACTTGCCTTAAACATATCGAGGGCTTACTTAGCTAAAATCGTTAAAAAAGTAAAGACGTCTGGCGATTCATCATATGAACACTGACCTAATATAGGGAACAGGCGTATTTTCACAACAGAACAGGAGAATATGCTTGCAGATTATTTAAAGACCGCATCTAAAATGTGCCATGGCCTAACAAGACATCAAGCAAAGAAGCTAGGATTTGATTATGCCGTAGCCAATGATATCTGTCCACCCAAATGGAAAGAAGTTGAAACTGCGACTGATGATTGGCTCAAAGGGTTTATGAGCAGACACAAAGACTTAACTCTGAGAAAACCTGAAAGCACTTCTCTATCCTGTGCAACAAGTTTTAATAAAGCTAATGTAAGCACACTTTTTGAGAAATTAAACACTGTTTTACAAAGATACAAATTTCCTCCTCATAGGATTTTTAACGCCGATGAAACAGGCTGCAGCACCGTCACCAATCCTCCTAAGGTCATAGCTGAAAGGGGTTCGAAACAAATTGGGCAAGTTACCTCAGCCGAACGAGGAACATTGGTGACAACTCTGTTCTTTATTAATGCTGCTGGTGGTTTTCTGCCGCCCGTTTTTGTGTTTCCTAGAGTAAATTATAAAGATATTATGCTAAATAATGGTCCGCCAGGAGCCCTAGGATTGGCTCAAGTTTCTGGATGGATGACTGAAGACTGTTTTGTGAAAGCGGTTGAACACTTTGCAATACATGTCAGGCCTTCAAAAGAGAATCCAGCATTGATATTAATGGATAACCACACCTCTCATGTAAATCTCAGAGTGGTTGAATTTGTCAGACAAAACTCCATTATAATAGTTACATTCCCACCACACTGCAGTCATAAACTGCAACCACTAGATATCACAGTATATGGGCCTTTCAAAACTAGGTACCGCACTGCCATGAATGAATGGATGTTGACGAACCCTGGAAAAACAGTTACTATTTATCAAATTGGGCAATTTGTAAAAGAAGCATATTTGCCAGCTTTCAGTCCACATAATATAACACAAGGATTTTTGAAAACAGGAATTTATCCATTAAATTCTAATATATTTAGTGAAGAAGCATTTTTATCTTCATATGTGACCGATAGACTTGATCCGCAGTCAAACGATGGTTTGAACTTGTATAAGGAAAGTATGGAAAGAAACTTAGAAACAACACCTCCATCTTCTACAAAATCGTTTGAAGCTGGCGAAGAAAATGAGCTTCTAATAGATCAGAATATCAGACTCTCTCATTGTTCAACCTCCACCCCCACGGCTGCAAATCCGAGTCAACGAATTATATCACCGGAGATGATAAGACCATTTTCTAAAGCGGGGCCAAGACAAAACACGAAACGAAATAATAGAAAAATGTCATCTGCTATCGTAACCGACTCTCCCGAAAGGAAAAAAATAGAGGAGAAAGAGTATAGTGCAAAGAAACCAAAAGTTACTGTTAAGAAAATGACTACAAAAGACTCCATAAAAACGCTTAAAACAAAATCAGAAATAAATAAAGAAAATTCCGTTCTGCAAGATGACTCTGATTCGTCTGACTCTATCGTATTGGATGAATTAAAAACAAAGGGTGTTCGAAGCAAAATAAACCCAAAGACAAATAACAATAGTGATGATTGTGTAGTTTGGAGCAAACCATATAAAGACAGTGATAAAGATTGGTTTCAGTGCAAAATTTGTTCTGGTTGGGCTCATGAATGCTGTGGTATTAAGGGGAACCTTAATTTCTTTTGCAAGACATGTTTCTAATTTGAAGAATACGCATTATATTCTGTTCTGATAGATTTAACGATTTTGTTTTTGATAAAAGATGTTGTTTGTTGTTTTATTTAATTTCAACACTGTTATTGATAAAACATAATCCGCCTCTAATATGTTAAGTTTATATTTATTATAAAATATGATTAGTTTTTAAAAAGAATTTGTTAGAATTGTCTTTTCATTTGTTTTTTAATAGTGTATACTTATTAGTTTGTATAATTTTCACAATTTCAAGTTATAATACAAGCTGGCCCTTTCATTACTTTTAGTGGCTCTTTCAATACCGAAATGTTATGAAAGAGCCAAATCACACATTTTTAAAAAACGTATATTTCATTGGTTTTATATACCTTATTTTAGATTTTTTTGTATGAAATATATACTTTAATAAATAAATAATAGTTTGACTAAAAAAATAATCATTTCATTCATTAAAGGTATATTTTTTGGCTACGTCTATAAAACTGGCTCTTTCATGCCACTACTCCCCTACTTTTAATTAGGTTAACTGCATTAGCGACTCATATATATCACGATTATTTCGTATTTTTAAATTTTTTAGAGCTATTTCATATTCAGACGATTTGTATCGAATCGAACTGTCCTCTTTTCCAAAATTAAATTTAGTTCTTGAACGTTACACGGAGACGGAGCACACAGCCGCTGGCGGCCGACGTTCACGGGTAGCACTACCATGCCGTCCGAGCGCGGTGTTGCCTTTCTTTCATCACGGCTCGTAGTTGACGTCGGCTGTGCTATGACATATGCACAGGCGTCAACGTCATACGGCGGATGGCGGTGGAGTTAATGGTGGAAAAACTGCTAAAAATACAGTGATTTGGGAAAAAAATTTCATGAAAAAAGTGCTTCATCCACACTTTTCTTGTTTTAAAATAATCTATAAGACTACCCTCTATAAGTTTCAAGTGAAAAAACAGTGAAATCGGAAGTTCTACAAAACGCAACAGCACCGTTATTGGGTTAACTGAATTTTGTATGGCCGCAAATGCAAGTCTTTTCTAAAATAATGTATAATAACGTGCCACGAATACCGAATTCTTGAGAACGATGTCTGGTAGACGTCTCAGGGCGCTCCACAACACTTTTACGAACTTTCTCGATATTTTCCGGAGTAAGATCAGTTCGAACACGGCCCGACCTTGGCAAGTGTTTAACTTCACCGATTTGTTTAAATTTCCACACCGACTGATGAATGGTCTTGACACTGGGCACATCGTTTAGACCGAAATTGCCCAATCTGTATAAAGCAGCAATTCATTTCATTTTCGGGAGGGGGGGATTGTAGGTTGAAATCAAATGATTGTAAGTAGTCGCATATTTCGTCACAGTGAAAGACTTTATAATATTTAAGAGCTGCCGATCTCAATGACACTATGCTACCTAATAACGATTCCAATTCACCTTTTGCAATGATTTGACTCACGTAGGAAGTATAGAGTCAATGTACTTGACGCCATTTTTTACATAGTTATTATAAGAAAAATTGGTATATTTTCTAATGGGATGTTAAACTAAGCCTCTAGCAAGAGGGTGAACTTGATAGGAGGCCTTTTGATTCATTCAAAGTCGTTGGTCAATTTTGTCAAAGGAGGTGACTTCTGAAAAAAAAAATAGTATTAATTAGAAATTTGCTGCTACGTTTAAGCATCCTTTAATGTTTTTTTTCGCATATTAACAATAACACCACAAAGGTTTCAACTTTTGGCTGTTATTTTACTACACGTCTTATGGTAAAAAAATAAATATGCAGAAATCGACGATTTTTGACGTTTTTTGCAATAACAAATTGGTCGTATATGGTCTCATTCTGAAGGTATTTTCAATTCCTCTAACTTTTTTGTGTCACTTAGACCAATAATGCACAACTATTTGAACATATGCGAAAAAGTGATTTTTCCAACTTCGAGGTTTAATAAAAGAGTTATCTCTATTGTAAAACATTTTTTTTTAAAACGAAATCGATTTTTGGTTAGCTTGGTCTATATTTTACCGAAAGTTCGAGTATGAGGATCACGAACCTGTTGCTGGTTTTACGTTAAGATATGCCCTAAAAGGCAAAAATAGGGCTATGCAATAATTTAGAATTGATGTATGTTTGTACCTAACGGGTGTTTTTTTAGAGGTATAGAACTTAAAGTTGGCGTTACTTTTGAGGATGGCGACCGATTTGACAGCTGTCAAGTGGTTTATTCTCAGTTTGGTTTGGCAATTTATCATGAATAGACTCATGCCTGAACAACGCTTGCAAATTGTGCAGTTTTATTTCTAAAATAATGGTTCTGTGCGGAATACGTATCGCGCACTACGCCCATTTTATCGTCGACAAAATCGTCCATCAGAGCAGTTAATCCGATTAACCATGGAACGTTTTCGCACCACGTTTACTCTAATTGATAGCTCGCATGCCCAGAGACGCCGTACGGTGCGTACAGAAGAAGCTATCGCTACTGTAGAGCGTAGGATTGAGGAAGACCCGAATGAGTCCATCCGCCATCGAGCACAGGAATTGGATCTGTGTCCATCCACTTTATGGAAGATTTTGCAGAAGGATCTTGGTTTGCGTGCTTACAAAATCCAACTCGTGTAAGAATTGAAGCCAAACGATCATCAAGCAAGGCGTAGATTCGTTGAATGGGCCCAAAACGAGATTGCCGTTGTTCCGATTTTCATAAGCGAATTTTGTTTAGCGATGAAGCGCACTTCCGGTTGAATGGCTACGTCAACAAACAAAACTGCCGCATTTGGAGTGAAGCTAATCCTCAATTCTATGTCGAAAAACCGTTACATCCAGAAAAACTGACTGTTTGGTGCGCTTTATGGGCTGGTTGGAATCATTGGTCCGTACTTCTTCAAAAACGATGATGGCCAGAACGTTACATTCAATGGTGATCGGTACAGAGACATGATTACTAACTTTTTCATTCCTGAATTGAACAGTCATGATGTCCAGGAGTTGTGATTCCAACAAGACGGCGCAACATGTCACACAGCTCGTGCTACAATCGATTTATTGAAAGACACGTTTGGTGACCGCCTAATTTCACGTTTTGGACCTGTGAATTGGCCTCCAAGATCTTGTAATTTAACACCGCTAGACTATTTTCTGTGGGGCTATGCAAAGTCATTGATCTATGCGGATAAGCCACAACCGCTTGACCTGTTGGAAGACAACATTCGCCGTGTTATTGCCGATATACGGCCACAAATGTTGGAAAAAGTCATCGAAAATTGGACGTCCAAATTGAACTACATCCGAGCCAGCCGTGGCAGTC